GAATGTTAGGGCACTGAATTTCTCTGATTCCAGGGCTGGGAACTGGGGTTAAATGATCTTCTGCAGCCGTGGTTACTTCCTTGTGTGAGGAAACTGCTGATGCAGCCGATGTAAAACTCGATTTCCAATTGAGAAATACGTACAAGACCTTAGCCCAGAGCAATTACATCATTTCCACCCGAATATTAATTACATTTGCCAAGTGAATATAAGAAAGCAATGTTTTTATTTTGAAACATAACAAACATAATGTAGCCACTCAGCCCATTGAACCTGCCTCGCTGAGCAATGAAATTATGTACGAACTCCTGCTTCACTGCCATTTTTCTGCACTATCCCATGATTTCTAAATATGGTTAATCTATCGAAATCTATCAACCTCAGTTTTGTATACTCTGAGTACTGGACATTGACATCCTCCATGGTCCTGAATTCGATAGATTTTGTCCACTCATTTCAGTCTGCTATTTGATAAGTATTTCTGTTGTGTATCCGGTGCTGCCACTGGCATGCCCTCCAGAAGTGTGCTTATCGTATGTTTCCTGGTGCCTCGTTGTGAAGCGCCATGATCGTATAATGGCCAATACTCTGCATATAGCCACAGCAGCTTCGACTCGAATCCGAATCATGGCAGTATTTGTTTTCTCTTAATGTATGCAATAGTAACACAGTAGAGGATCATATATATTGCAAGAAGGCATACAGAGGCGTGAGCAATGCCGACGTTGTGGTGACATTTGTACAAAGGTTAGACATTACCTTGATTCAGGAGATAAGCATATAGAATCTGTTTATGTAGAGTTGAGGAATAGTGAGGGAAAAAGTCACCAGTAGGTGTTGTCTTCAAGCCCACTAACAGTAGCCACAACATGAAAACAAACGTATAAAAACAGATATTGTGTGTGACAGATAAAGGGATGACAATAATCATGGGTGACCTTAATTTCCCCCTCTCCCACTCCCAGCTCCATTGCAAATAAAGTTTACAGAACCATAAACAATATATCAAATGTGTCCCATAGAACAGCACTATACATATCCTGGCCTTCGATTAATTTACACGTACTTAGTTTCTGTCTTTTCCTGGGAAACCATCTCTTTCATTGTGAACTTTAGGAAAGGAGGCCATTTTTTTGCCAGAAAAATAAATATGTCATTTGCCTTTGTTTGCTTCATGCTCAAGAACACTCAGTTTCCTTTGTACCCTTTTTTTTTGGAAATTTCTGTCGATTTTAATAGTAGTCTACCTTCTGACTCTTCCGACTAAAGTGCAAGAACTCACACTGCCGACATGAAACTGCATGAACCAAGTTTTTGTCCACTTACTCAACCTATCTATACCCCTTTGCAGATTCGCATGTCCTCATCACAACATGCCCTCCGTCTATTTCGTATCTTCTGCAAAACTGAACACATTGCACTCTGGCACTTCCTCCAAGTCATTAATACAGAGATAAATAATTGCAGCCCTCTGACTGACCATTCTGGCACTCCACAAATCATATCATTCCAACTTGAAAAATACCCATTAATCCTGTTTTGTATTTTATGTTAATTAAACAATGGGGAGCCCATGCTCATTTATACCTAACAGCGTAAACTCCTACCTTGTGCAATGACCTGAGATATGGCTCCTGGTTGAGTTTCTGCTAAAAATTCAAATGCACTTCTTCTGCCGTTTGCCTTTATCAACTGTGCTTGTAATATTACCAAAGAACTCTGGCACAACTATCAAGTGTGACTTGCCTTTCAACAAACGATGTTGACTCTGTTTGATTGCAATAACCTTTTATAAACGACCTTTTTTTCTTCCTTTACAATTATCTCACATTTTTCAAATGACAGATAAGACATTGGGACAGATGGAAGTATTTTGGCCCATCAGGTCAATTACATCATTAAATGATATCATGGCTAATCCTCAACTCCACTTTTCTGCCTTATCACAGTCACCCTTGAATCCCTAAATGACTGAATCTCTGTCTATCTCAGCCTTGAATACACCCAGCCTTATCAGAACTCTGTTGGAAGAATTCCACAGATTTGTTACTGTCTGAATGGGAGAACATCCCCCTCATCTCTGTATTAAATGGGCAACAACTTCCCCTGAGATTACGCACCCGGGTGTAAATCAGAGAACAGCAAACCCCCAAAGTTAGTTATGAACTCACTGGCACATCCAGCGCCAATTGTCAGTATTTGAAACAGTTTCGTTTTTGACCTATGGTTAAACAAACTGCCCTGATTTGCACATTAGATTGGCCAATGAAGAATTTGCTTCAAAAGTACTCCATTGGTTGTGATTTAGATGGTGGTGAAAGGCACTTTCAAAATACAAATACATCTTTCTTTCTCAATCCATTGATCTATTAATCTCTCTGCTCATGGAAATGGATTCTTCCCATTCACTCTATTTCTCAATAATGTAGTTCAATTCAATCTCCGTTCTGATCAAATGCAGGATTGCAAGAAATATAAGGGTTGTGGCACGGACAAGACTAGCCGAATGCTCCTCTTTACTTTTGAAACCATTCCATAAGAAATGTTAAAATTTACCATGTCCCCTGTAGTCATGGCTGACTGGTTAAGGTGATAGATTGGAAATCCATTGGGGTTTCCCCGTGCAGGTTCCAATCGTGCTGACTACGTTTCCTGAACGCGTATTTTTTTTCAAATAACCTTCTGATCAATGAGTTTTCGCTCCAACTCGAGAAAATCCGTCTCACCAACTCACCGGAGAATCTGGTCATTTATTGACATTCAGGAAACACGAGTTCTGAACAAGAAACTTTACCATACTCAAAAGTTTAGCTCTGTTTCTCTTTCCACAGGTACCAATAAACGTGTTGAGTTTCAGCAGTATTTACTGTTTTTAATCTACATAACTGTTTTTTCATTAAATATCTTGAATTGCAGTCCTCTGGTAACTGACCCTGGTTAGTGGCTGCAGTTTCTCCCGACAATCACCTTGCCTATTCCCGCCATCCCCTCCCCTACTGTTGTGAACAGTCCCAGGAAAGCTCTGGTTAAACTTTTTTGCACCAAAGAGAACATTTCCGATCTCGGGAAACTCTCCACTGAACGGGATTTCCTCATCCCTGGGCATGTTGCAAGGCGGAGGATTGTGAAGAGATTTTGGGAAAATATTGACAATTGGAAGTGGGGTGGGGAGGGGTGGGGTGGGGAGGGGAGGTGGTGCGATGTTAAGAAAGCAAAACAGAAAACCCAGTCTCCAGCTTTTTGAATCTTCAGAAACTCTTGGAGGCTGACTGGAGTTTATAATCATATAATAGCATTTATTAACATTCAATATTCTTAGGGGCCTTGACAGCGTAGTTATGGACAAATGGTTTCCCTAAGCACGTGAGAGAAGGACTATAGGACATCATATCCGAATAAGGTTTAGCCCATTTAATTCGGAAATGAGGAGGAATTTCTTCGCTCGGGGCCAGTGAACTTGTGGAATTCTTTCCCGCAGACGGTTGTTGAGGCTGGATTGTTGGGTATTGTCAAACTGAGCTAGACAGACGTCTAATCAGTAAAATGGTCAAGAGTTATCCAGATTAGGCAGCAGAATGGAGTTGAAGATTATCATTGAAAGGTGCTGCAGACTCGTTGGGTCGAATATTTCTGCTCCTAATTTATTCCTACTGCTCCTCCATCATTTTGTCCATGGTCTTATTTAATCGATAGGTCCAACATTGTTTTGGGGGTGGACTTGGATAAGATTATAGTCTTATTTTCACGCTGTCACGCCTTGTAGCTAATCACGGCCTTTTCACTCCGCTCCCTCTGCATTTGTTTTCCAACGATAATGTTTTACAATACACCAAAAGATGTGATCAAAAAGCGTGATAAGAACAATGGCTGAGGATGTGTTAAGAACAGCACCGGATACACAACAGGAATACTTGGCGATCAGTGGACTGACGTGTAAGAACTCAGAATGGGCTGCAAACTTTAACTTCGATGCTCCCAGACTCTATCATGGAGTGTGTTGAAGACTGAGATTGATAGATTTCAACAAACATCAAAGGTTCAGGGGAGAGTGCAGGATATTGTTGAAATGTACTTTCGAACAGCATTGCAGTTTAACATCGGTTACTTCACCAGTTTTCTCACACAAGGAAGTAACCACTGCTGCAGACGACGATATAACCTCAGTTCCCAGGCCCGGATCCAGAGAAACTCAGTGGCGCAGCCGCGAAGATACAACCGGAAATGGGGATGGCAATGAGCGCGCGGAGCTAATCTGTGGCTCCAGTGACGCAATCGGTGAGCGCGCAGTCCTTCTATGACGGTATGGAGGCGCGTGAAATGCCGAGGCTGTGAGCTCCAACCTCACCCGGAGCAGCTTTTACTGACATGGAGCAGGGATTATTGGGACATCAGGATTGGGAAAAGCAATTTTAATCTGAAGCAAAATAGTTTTCGGCAGCACAGATGTTTGTGGACAGGAGGAGGATCTGTCTGTGAAAATGTCTCAATTATAAAGAAAAATACTGCAAATATTCAACTCACAAAGAGAAATGGAGGTAAAGTTTTCGCTCTCTGAACTTTCTCATATGGTTGACTCTACACTGGGTTAAATTGCAGGAAGGGCTTTTTCGCTCGTTTCATATTATTTAATTTTCTGTAAACACACACGGGTCATTAAAGTAATCTAAACTTCCGACAAATAATGGGAATATACGATGTTGTGATTAGGATCAAGTTTTCCTCATTTGTGGAGGAAAAGCAGGAAAGTGCAGTTGAGGTTTATTAGAACAGTTATGATCTCATTGAACGGCTGAGCGGACTGGTTAAGTTGAATGGCAGCTCCCTGAGGACAAATGTGTTTTCTTTGCCAGTGAAACTCACCGCATCACAAAGTCGGGGCCATTGAACTGAAGCAGTGATGGTGATTATCTCTGCTGGCTGTTCATGTTGTGATTGTTACCATTGCTAATCATGTCCGTGTTAACACCATAACTGCAGTGTATAAGGCTATAGCATGTAGTGGGCCAGTGGCGCAATGGGTAACGTGCTTGACTACAGATCAGGCGACTGTAGGTTCGAGTCCTACCTGGCTTGACAGCAGTGTAGAAATTTATTACTCCTCCCCAGTAATCTTTCTCACCGGTCTGAAGTCGAGGTGGCGTTTGAATTTCTGCAGGAAAGAAAACCCTTTCACTATCTCCTGTCAGTGAATGTCACCAACGTCCCAGCCCCTTCAGAGAAGGGGAAGCTGAAATTGTCCCAAAAGCAGCTCACGCCTACCTTTCGGTTTCCCAATCACTGCAGCTACTGGGAATAGCAAGGAAACAAAGCAAATCGCCCAGTCTCAGCTTCAAGAAACTTTAGAATCCCTTTGGGATGTGAAATCAGAGGAGAATGAAGGGTGAACTATCTGACTGAACAGAGACAGTTCAGGCACCATTCCTATCTTCAAGAGACTGCAGCATTGACTCTCATGTTCTTGGGGACATGAACTGATCCAAGACATTGAAAGGATTCCCGTCAGAATTGCTTTACCTTTGCTATTGTCCCTGTCAGGAACAATCAATCCTGATTCCCTGACCGGGAATCACACGCAGGCCGTGGAGGTGAAAGTGCCAAATCCTAATCACCAGACCACTAGAGATGAGGGCAGAAGCACGTGAATTGTTTCTTAATGATGCAGCTTTTGACTTCTTTTCTCTTCCAAAATGATCGAATCGTCGAGTTATTTTTTTATAGGCCCGTCAATCTCCGTTTCCAGCACGTGGCCTGTAGCTCTGTGTGCTCTGACATTTCAAGTGTTCATCTCGATAATATTTTCCCTGTGACGTTTTAATCTCAAAAGTTACAATAAATAGGACTGGAGTTTGAGATGGTAAAACTGTTCATGTCCCCCTCGGGGAACTGAACCTCATTTTCACCCACAAACAGAAGCAATCAGACACATTTCCCCAAACGTGACAGTGGCCTCAGGAGAGACCAACCTCCAGAAAGCAAGGATTTCACCCACCTGGCTTATATTGTTCAATTTCAGATTTCAAAATCAGAGTCTGTTTACAGCAAAGAAAAGATTCATTCGGCTGCTTCCCTGTCCGTGTTACTTCCCCATTGTTTCCTCGTCACTCTGCAATTTATACCGCTCCACCTCAATCTTCCTGCCAAACTGAAACATTCCTCACAGCAGCTGCTTCCGAAAGACCTCTCTCAAATACCTGGAAGGACAAAGAGGAATGTGGCATTTCAAACGCATTTCTGGATGGCGGAGGAAATGACATGGTGGTGTTAACACTGTTGCATCAGAAATAATTTCAAACGACATTTAAATAGTTCCTTTGGATGTTGGATGCAGCAGGTGATGAAAATTCTCGCAGGCCCCAGAAAGAAATGAACTCATGGCCAATCAGTGAATCACTAAACCACAGACCGAACACTGCAGGCGTAGGTGTCCTCTGAGAGAGGGTCTCATGCATCAGAAACTGCAATGTAATAGATGACTGGATAGCCTGTGCATAATAGACCAAGACAATGTAAAAAAATAGGATTGGTGTTTGTGCTGTGTTTCTGCGGTGTAGTGGTTATTACATTCGCCTCACAGCGCTGCTCCCTCATTATCCAAACAAGGCGTGTTTTTCCCACTTTTCGTTAAATGTGAACAGAGTTCGTTTTTATATTGCTGTTCTCATCACAAAATCTTGCCGCTTCTAACTTGGAGACAGGGGTTTGGATAGAAAGGTTCGAAAGGCAGGGAGAATCTGCTGCAGCCGTTGCCAAATTGAACAAAATCTTTTTCGCCCCTTTCACACGAGAAGAACCGTTCATGAGGAATGAGTTTCTGTAAATTGTGTCCCAGGGATGGGCAGGAAGCCGCTGATTGAAGCTGCAGTGGTCCCTTTCTGCTGGCGGCAGGGAATTGGGAAGAGGGGTCAACTCCCGCTGCTTGTCTCTGTCTCACTCTGTGTGGAGCAGTGGAAGAAAGAGTCCTTCTTGGGTGTATTTTGAATTCAATCTTGTCATGGATTTTGCGTGGGTTAAATGGAAGAACTTGACCCAAAGCAACCGAAACACTGCATCTGCATGGCCTCGAGCTGGTACCTTTTCAATTTACATCCTGATGCTGATCCGTTAAGCCACGGGAACGGACGTCAACAAACTGTGCAAAATCCCCTGATGAGGTGCCGGTGTTGGACAGGTGCAGACAAAGTCAGAAATCACATGACACCAGGTTATAGTCCAACAGGTTTATTTGAAAACACAAGCTTTCGGAACCTCAGTCCTTCATCAGGTGTCAGTGAGAGAAGCGTCAGATAGAGAATTTAAAACAAAAAGATAAAAAGGGTCACACCACTCTCTGATTGGAGAGTACGGTATCATAGCCTACTACTTGTCCCTGTCCCACTCCGAGTGGAGCCGAGGTGAAGCATTGATGGTGCTGTGTAAATCCAATCTCATCATAGAGGTCTAGTGGGTGAGATGTAGATACGTGGTCGAAATAATTGTTTGATCTGAAACTGCTGAAGTAGCGTACCTGGTTGGTCTCGAGCTGCAGCCCTTTCAGTGACTGTCCAACTGAGACGCAGAAACTGGCGCCAACATGACATACAAAGTCCCCAAGCGAAGATCTGAGGAGGTGCTGTACAGCTGGAGCTCTCACCGTTTTCAGGACCTGTTGCCCATTTTACCGCTTTCATCACCAAAACTGTCAGAGGCCCGAGGAACTGCAAACACCGAGAAGAAAAGAAGACATTACATTTTTGACGTTGCCCAGCTTCCAGCTAGGGTACAACACAAACGAATCTAGTAGCGGTGGGATGCCGAAATCGTCATAACTAGTGTTTCCAGTGAATTAGAATATTAATCTGAAGAAACTTAGAGCCTCTTCTTTTTTTAAATTCTTCCCTTGGATGTGAGTACTTCAGCATTTGTTACAACTTTTCAGTTGCCCCTGAGAAGATGGTGGGGAGCAGTTTGTTGCAATTGAATTAATCTGACCAACTAGCCCGATACTGACTGAAGGAGCTGTTCAGTCAACATTTCAATCATCCTCCACATGATATCGACAGAGAGGCACTCAGATATATCCACTGAGAACGACAAATATCTGAGGAGTGACATTAACCCACAAACCAAGGGTATCTCTCTTTTAGCGAATGATTGAATCATTTTGGGACAGCAACATTCATGAAAGTTTCGAATTGAAGCGAGTTGTAATTATTAAAACAGGCCTGCTGTGTGGATCCATTCAAACGGCAGGCAGCAGTTTCTGACCAGTTAACACCCACAATGAGCCTTCGAGCTCCAACTCTTGAGACAGATCCCATGTGCTGTTTTCCAAGAATTCATGTCCCTCGCTTTTCCTCCTCTTTCACTCCAAAGCCTCTCTTCCGTGTTGTCCCTCGATCTGATGTCTGACTGGGATCTCTAGCTCTGACGTGAAAGTTGAACTCTCACTCCACTGATTCTGCCAGAACTACTGTGGCCATTTAGTTTTCAAACACTTTGCAAGTCACCTTCCTTCAGAAAATGTGCACAAAATAAATAAGACATTATTCCCTGACCAGGGACCATATTGTATGGAGGCGAAAACACGAGAGCATCAGGGACATAGTTCTGAATTCTTGCAGGTTGCTCAACATGATTTCACATCAGGCACTTTCCCCCCAGGACGCAACCAATGATTTACATGTTGGAAGTGAATGTATCATTGTCAACTATGTGGATGAAACAAAAATAAGTAAGAAGCTAAATAATGAGTCAGAAATCAATAGTCCAACATGTTTATTTGAAATCAAAAGTATTCAGAGAGCTGCCCCTACGTCAGTTGTCAGAATTCAACTTTAATGTAGTCAATATTTCAAATAGAATGGACAATGAATGTGGAAAGGGATTGTTATGGTTATACAATGTACAGCCAGGATATACAGTGAACAGCTTTGGAACCCACACCTAAAGAAAGGTACATTGGCATTGGATTAGTGCAGTAAAGGTTCACCGCATTGTCTGGTGTGTAGAGGAATTTTCGTGTGAGCAGAGATTGAGCAGATTGGGCCTGTACTCATTGTCTTTAAAAGAATGAGTGAAAACCGCAATGAAACAATTAATATTCTTAAGGGGCTTGACACGATAAATGTGGGCCTGATGTTTTCTCTGTGTGGAAGAGTTGAGGACCAGAAGGCATCATCTCAGTCTGAGGAGTCACCCACTTAGGGCAGATTCATTTTCTCTCAGAGGCGATGAATCTGTGGAATTCTTTACTACAGAGTTAGGCTGGGTCAATAAGTATAATCAAAGCTCAGATAGACATTTTTCATTATTTCGGATACGAAGGATGAAGTGGACAAGGCATGCAAGTCGTATCTCCGGATTATCAGATCATCTCCGATCTCATGGAATGGGGGAGCGGATAGAATCGACCATATGATTTATTTTGGCTCCTGCATCTTATTCAATGCGTCAAGCTTATCCGTTCTAATTATCTGTTTTTTTTTTCTGGTTGTCATACTTGACATCAATTTACCCACTCTCTGATTCGCTGCCTGCTTCTGTCCCGAATTTAACTCGTCATCCCTCTGCGTGCAGAGTTATCAGATTCATTAGCTGCTTGGTGTAAATACAGATTGATGGTGAATTCAAGCTTTAACTGGAAAGCAAGCAGTGGGAATGTAAGACAGAAAGTCATAAGCTTACAGATGGCAGTACAAATGATAGAGAGTGCTGATCTTCCCGTTTCTCCAATATATTAGTTACAAGAATGTGCCCAGTCCCCATTATCTTCTTCCACTCTTCCCAGTCTTGGGCATGTTGTAATCCTTTGGAATGGTGCATATTTTAACACATGTTCAAACTGTGAGGAAAGGGCTTTATTTTCTTTATTTCTGAATAATACTGGTAAACGTGACAGCTGTTCGGCTTCGAACAATGAGCGAAATCATTCCCCAAAATGAAAATCTAAGTTCCAGAAATGTTGTACGGTTCATATTTTCTTTATCGAAGCATAACCAAACACAATTTATCACAGATGCATTACATTTGTTCCTCGATCAAGTCTCGCAAGGTAGATTCAACTTTGCATTGATGTTTGTTTTGATGGATGGGCT